TCTCTCCAAATCACTAATGCTATTGGTACATACTTTAAGAACATAATTTGGGGACTTAATACATTATGATCATTGGATTGATAAGGTTGAGAGTAAGTGATAATTTAATGTTGAAACCCACTGACAATCTAATAGTCACAATCATTAAATCTTCAAATTATGTCCAAAAGAAAGAATTAAATCTTTCTTAACTTTGAAGATTCTCCCCCAAAGACTTTTCATCTAATTGTTAGAAACTGCTTATTGGACAACCTTCAGTCAAATTTGGCTCTCTTCTTGCATGCATGAGGTAAGAAAAATGGACCGGAAAATGTCATTTTTAATGTAGGAGATGTTCGTCACTTCGAAACTGAAAAGAATCATTTTCATATAATCTTATATAATAAAATTGAACAGTTTTACAACTACGTCAAGACTTGCCCTTAAATTCAATAGTTCAAGAATGTGGACAATATGTTGGTGTGAGTGTGGATGCTTGAATTGACAAGAATTCATATGGCCATTTGAAATCCACTTTTGAGTTTGTATCAGGTATTAATTAACTTTAATTCAAATTGGTTAATTAATTGTGTTAAATGGCTTAGACTAATTCAATCTACGTGTTAATCATATTGCATGTGGATCAACACACATAAATTGAAAAGCAAAAAAAATCTACAACTAAGGCCCCATTCTTTCTTAACAAAATGAAATCACCCATATGAAAATTTCAGTTGCTTTAATATTTACAAATCTTTTTTTTTTTTTTAAAGAAAGAATGAAAATTTTATTTCATGAATTAAAGAATTACAAGAAGCAAAAGGGGATTAAGCCATTTTGACTTTAATCCTTCAAAACACCCAATAACCAAAAGAATACAACAAAATGTCCCTCAAAATTTTAAAGAAATTTCGTCTTCTTCCTAAGCAGCTTCAGACCCTGCTGACCATGCATCATCAGCATCTTTGCCTGCACAGGGACACCCAACGTCTGGGAAAAGTCAGATGAGAATCCATTCTTCACAGCCAAGTTAGCAAAGAAATCTGCTAGACAATTGGCTTCCCTGTAAATGTGCTCCAGACTGTATACCAAACTATCCAGCCTGACCATAATCCGTCTCAACAGAACCCAGAATTTCCAAGCCCTGTTATGCCCTTTTAACACTATCTGAACCATCACTTCAGAATCAGTTTNTTGGAACTAATTTAAGAGGCGAATCTTGCAAAACGACTAACGATAAAAGTCATCCAATCGATTTATGTTTTATGACAATTTACATCCCTTTATAACCGAACTACTTGGCATATGGCGGAGCACTAAGATNACTGATAACTACTCAAATCATGTCTTTCTATTAAAACCAATCCATCTCTTAAAGCCCTTAATTCTGCCTCCATGTTTGAACACTCACCAAACCAAAAGGAAGCAGCCAGCACCAGGTGACCCCAATGATCCCTGACCACCACACCTCCCCCAGCTTTACCAGTATTCCCTTTAGAAGCTCCATCTACATTAAGCTTCAGCTTTCCAACCAAAGGAGGAAACCATCTTACCCATAAAGCAACAATTTGAATTTTCTGCACATACTCAATTCCCAAAGCCTGCAACACTTCTTTTCCCCATTCACTCTCTATTGTACATGGTCTGAACACCTTAGCCTGCATCCTCAAAACCTCACAGACTCTAAAAAAAATANATTTGAACTAATCTAAGAGGCGAATCTTGCAAAACGACTAACGATAAAAGTCATACAATCGGTTTATGTTTTCTGACAATTTACATCCCTTTATAACCGAACTACTTGGCATATGGCGGAGCACTAAGATGTGTATCTTAAATTCAGTGTTTTTTATAACTATGGTTAGTAAGTAACTAATTATGAATTGGACTTGCTGTTGCTCGCAACCATAATAAAGCACCAAACATGGAGCCGATCTCCCTACACTAGAAGATAATTTTGTACAATCCCTATAAGGCATGATGAAGGGACTGGGACTCCACAAAATTAAGATTAAATTTTGTCCAAGTTAACCTACGATTGTTATCTCGAATGAGCTTTGATCGCCCCATCACCCATCCTTGATCGTTTACATTGGATTTCAAGGATTCAAGAAAGAGCCCACCAACCATCCTCTTTAAGAGTAATTTGCATCTACATTAATTTTCGTTTAGAAATGTTGAAATTTTGGTTTCTTTTTTCTTAAAGAGGAAATAGCGACATAGAGCGAGCGGGCCTCCAGTTATTGTGGTCGCTAATACGTCATATTAATGTCTAGTAGCTACTGAATTAGCCCACTTCACTTGATCTAGCCAACTTCACTTAGGAACTTTGGTTTTCTCTCCAAATCACTAATGCTATTGGTACATACTTTAAGAACATAATTTGGGGACTTAATACATTATGATCATTGGATTGATAAGGTTGAGAGTAAGTGATAATTTAATGTTGAAACCCACTGACAATCTAATAGTCACAATCATTAAATCTTCAAATTATGTCCAAAAGAAAGAATTAAATCTTTCTTAACTTTGAAGATTCTCCCCCAAAGACTTTTCATCTAATTGTTAGAAACTGCTTATTGGACAACCTTCAGTCAAATTTGGCTCTCTTCTTGCATGCATGAGGTAAGAAAAATGGACCGGAAAATGTCATTTTTAATGTAGGAGATGTTCGTCACTTCGAAACTGAAAAGAATCATTTTCATATAATCTTATATAATAAAATTGAACAGTTTTACAACTACGTCAAGACTTGCCCTTAAATTCAATAGTTCAAGAATGTGGACAATATGTTGGTGTGAGTGTGGATGCTTGAATTGACAAGAATTCATATGGCCATTTGAAATCCACTTTTGAGTTTGTATCAGGTATTAATTAACTTTAATTCAAATTGGTTAATTAATTGTGTTAAATGGCTTAGACTAATTCAATCTACGTGTTAATCATATTGCATGTGGATCAACACACATAAATTGAAAAGCAAAAAAAATCTACAACTAAGGCCCCATTCTTTCTTAACAAAATGAAATCACCCATATGAAAATTTCAGTTGCTTTAATATTTACAAATCTTTTTTTTTTTTTTAAAGAAAGAATGAAAATTTTATTTCATGAATTAAAGAATTACAAGAAGCAAAAGGGGATTAAGCCATTTTGACTTTAATCCTTCAAAACACCCAATAACCAAAAGAATACAACAAAATGTCCCTCAAAATTTTAAAGAAATTTCGTCTTCTTCCTAAGCAGCTTCAGACCCTGCTGACCATGCATCATCAGCATCTTTGCCTGCACAGGGACACCCAACGTCTGGGAAAAGTCAGATGAGAATCCATTCTTCACAGCCAAGTTAGCAAAGAAATCTGCTAGACAATTGGCTTCCCTGTAAATGTGCTCCAGACTGTATACCAAACTATCCAGCCTGACCATAATCCGTCTCAACAGAACCCAGAATTTCCAAGCCCTGTTATGCCCTTTTAACACTATCTGAACCATCACTTCAGAATCAGTTTCAATTTGAAACTGATAACTACTCAAATCATGTCTTTCTATTAAAACCAATCCATCCCTTAAAGCCCTTAATTCTGCCTCCATGTTTGAACACTCATCAAACCAAAAGGAAGCAGCCAGCACCAGGTGACCCCAATGATCCCTGACCACCACACCTCCCCCAGCTTTACCAGTATTCCCTTTAGAAGCTCCATCTACATTAAGCTTCAGCTTTCCAACCAAAGGAGGAAACCATCTTACCCATAAAGCAACAATTTGAATTTTCTGCACATACTCAATTCCCAAAGCCTGCAACACTTCTTTTCCCCATTCACTCTCTATTGTACATGGTCTGAACACCTTAGCCTGCATCCTCAAAACCTCACAGACTCTAAAAAAAATAGCATGAGGATTCAAGCAACCCTCATCAAAAACTCTCCTACATCTCTTTCCTTCCAAATAAGCCAGTACACCACCAAAGCCAGCCCTCTCATCGGAGAATGATACAAGGAATCCTTCTTAAAAATTCTCCCCAATCTCACCATTCTCACAACTGGAGATTCACTGTTAAACAACTGAAACCCACACAAAACCGACGATACCATACTAAAGCAGTAAATTTGCAGTGAACAAACAAATGAGACCCTGTCTCCATTTCTTCTAAGCACAAAGAGCACCTACTAGCCAAATTTACTCCAATAGTCTGAACTCTAGAGTCCACTGGTATAGCATTTTTCATAATCTTCCACCCCAAAAGCTTAGCACTAACAGGAACAGATGACTTCCATATATTAGAAGCCACCTGATTAACTGCTCCTCCATCCCTGACAAGCTGCCAAGCAGTCTTAACAGAAAATAAACAATGTCCCCAATGGAAAATTTTGAAAAAATATCATAATTTCTTTTTACACTAAACGGATTTATTGTGTCAAAAAATGAGATATTAATGTTTGACACTAATCCAAATTGTTTTGGTTTGTATCATCAGTAAAGTCAATTTTGAATTCACGTCGAAAACTAATCAATTTGAACCTATCGATTCTATGTCAAGTTCGTACCCGGTTTACGTGATACATTGCTATTAACATGTAATATCAACAATTGTCATTCGCATATCACAATTCTATCTAAATGGCTTCTTATTTTTATTGGTAGGAGTTGTTTTTAGCCAATAACCTCTTCTATTCTTTGGAAATATCAGTCAGCAATCACTTTGACAATTGGCACTATTTAGATCTCATCTTTTCACTATAATTATTAGTATTTTTTTTTTAATTTTCAGTCTTATTAGCTCACACCATCTTAGCTTGAATAAGTCTAAATAATGGACGGCTTTCTTACCTACCATTGTTTTATACTTTTCAAACCCTTCTCAGCCTCTATTTTTATTCTTAGAATTAATCCAGGCACAACAATCCAAATCCAAATCCGAATATAAAACAACTGTACTACTTTATTGACTAAGACTTCATGTTCTCTGTATATATTTCACCACACCACATTGTGATATTGCTGTGACAAGCTCAAGAGAGAAAAATGGCAGGTCTTAAATCTTTCTTTCTTTGTGTTGCGATTGCCAGTTTTTGTGCCGTGGCATCATCATCTTCATCTCAGGTAGTCAAGGGGGCTTATTGGCCTTCTTCGGATCAGAATTTCCCCTCGTCGGCCATTGACACGTCTTTGTTCACTCACGTCTATTATGCATTTTTAGAACCCAACAATGTCACTTTTAAGTTTGACATACCATATTCAACTGCTCTGATACTCGTAAACTTCACATCAACTCTTCATGCGAAAAATCCGCCCGTGAAAACTATCTTTTCTGTTGGTGGGGCGGGTGAAGGCTCATCGTTATTTGCTCGGATGGCTTCAAGTTCTTCCTTGAGGATGAGTTTCATTGACTCCTCAATTGAAGTGGCACGAAAATTTGGATTCGATGGGATTGATTTGGATTGGGAATTTCCTGAAAACCCCCAAGATATGGAAAATTTGGGCCTCTTATTGGACCAATGGCGGGCCGAGGTCCAAAAAGAGGCTGTGACCACCTGCCGGCCACCACTCTTGCTCACTGCCGCCGTCTACTACGCCTCCGACGTATCCCTGAACGGCGTGTTCCGTTCGTACCCGGTGGCTTCAATAAATAAAAACTTGGATTGGATCAATGCAATGTGTTATGACTATCACGGTTCATGGGACACTTCAACGACCGGAGCTCAAGCAGCCCTGTTTGACCCAAAAAGTAACATCAGCACAAGTAATGGGCTTGGATCATGGATACGGGCCGGCATCCTTAGAAGTAAGTTGATCATGGGCTTGCCACTCTACGGGAGGACGTGGCAGCTCAAGGACCCTAGATCATATGGTGTGGGGGCACCAGCCGTTGATGTGGGTCCCGGAGACATGGGGGTACTCACTTTCTTCCAGGTGGAGATGTTCAATAGGGCTAATAATGCCACCGTGGTGTATGACGTGGAAACCGTGTCCACGTACTCTGTTGCAGGGAGTATTTGGATTGGGTATGATGATCCTAGATCGGTAACGGTGAAGATAGGGTATGCTCAGGCCCTTGGGCNTATCCTTAGAAGTAAGCTGATCATGGGCTTGCCACTATACGGGAGGACGTGGCAGCTCAAGGACCCTAGATCATATGGTGTCGGGGCACCAGCCGTTGATGTGGGTCCCGGAGACATGGGGGTACTCACTTTCTTCCAGGTGGAGATGTTCAATAGGGAGAATAATGCCACCGTGGTGTATGACGTGGAAACCGTGTCCACGTACTCTGTTGCAGGGAGTATTTGGATTGGGTATGATGATCCTAGATCGGTAACGGTGAAGATAGGGTATGCTCAGGCCCTTGGGCTTCGTGGGTATTTCTTTTGGGCCGTCAATGGTGACTATAAGTGGAAAATCTCAAGAACAGGTAAAGTTATTTTATCACTTACAAGTGCATGAACATTCATACTAACTACTAAATTGTATTGTTATTTTTTTTAATGTAAAAAGGACGTTAACATCCTAAACATACAACACTCACATAGTCGACTACAAATCTACACCACTAACATACCAAATAGATCAAATTTTTGATAGAACTTAATGGCATCTATATTTTGATAATTTTTTTAAAAGAATGATGTGGCCCGCTCATATTCTTAAATTCCAAAACAAAAAAAATTATATTAATATCGAAGAATTTATAGAGATATCATTAATGTTGTCGCATGATTCCGGTAGAAAATTTTGATTGTACAACATTTTTCTAACTTGGTAAATGTCAAGGAATGAGCCATTTTTCCTAAAGAGGAGGTCGATTCATTTTTAATTTCATATATTATGCTGCACTTAACATGCATGAGTTACAAATTTATTAGGAAAAGAAGTGATTTATTTGATGGGAGAGGCTAGGTCATTGGCTGCTTTAATTTCCTCCTCATTAAAGGAGAAGTGGTGAAGTTCATGTATGCATTTATAAGTTCATCATTTATACATTGACATAGTGTTTGGGACTCTATCTAAGAGATAATGACATGAAACAGCCAAAATGTACATGTGATCACCATTTCATGACCTATTATTAAGCCATAGGGGCCATGTACTATGAGGCCAAACCATGAACTATGCTTCCCTTTATTTATAATAGAATTATTGGGATTTTCTTTAGATTTTTGTGTAGTACTAAAAGTTATACAGCCTGATCAGGTCTAGTATGATTCAAACAACCCAAGTTATGACCAAATGCGGTGGATTTAAGATAAATCTTACACACTTGGTGATGATCACAATTTTTTAGGATCGTTTTCAACTTTTTGCATCTTGTTGGTTCGTAACTTTAGTCTTATTCAATTATATCACTACTTTTAATTTTTTTCACAATCGTGGCATCTGTAGGCTACTTTGAAGACAAAAACAGTGTACTTACATTGATTTGTGTTGGTTTGTGCTCCATGTCTTGCAGCTTCTCAGTTTTGGCTTCTTTAAGTAACTGCCCGGATGGAGCTTTACCTTACCCTTGCTGGTTTGTCTCCGTGCACAAGAGGAACTTTCAAGAGTTTTGAAAGGAGTCTTGAAGGGAGAGAGGCTAACTTTTCTAGGAATTTAATTTTTGTTTTTTTTTGTGTGATTTGTAATAAGCTAGTGCTTATGCTAGCATTCACACACACACACACACTCTCACACATTGGCTGGATTACTTCGCAAGTTTCTCTTGGTTATGCAGCTTCGTATTATGTCTTGTTCTGAATTCTCAATATATTAACTGTTAAATTTCAAAGATAATTCTACCATTACTGATTTGGCATACTCAATGTAGTAATTACCAATTATTACTCTCGTACTTATTCTGTCCAAACCAAGAAATTTACGCTGAAGAGTCCTGACAAATGATGATTAAGACAAGATTCAACATTTTTGAACCACGAAACAACAAATATAATCTGTATTTTTATTCTAAGTAGTTATTCTATTTGAGGTAAATAAAGAACTTGTTATTCTTAAATCTTGGGCCCAAGAATTCCGATATAACTTAAGCAACACAAGATATCCACGACTCCTCTTGATTTTGTAATGCTATACACAAATCAATTGGTTCTATCAAACAAGTCATATGTTGGGTTTGATCAACGATTTCAACATAAGATGGTAAGATCATATCTTGAGCCCAATTTTTTTTTTTTTCAAAAGGTTCTTCCAAATTATTATAACTACACAAACCAATTTTATCATTATTCTACATGAACTAAATACATTATGAAAATTGTTACTGCATTGAAATAGAGACAATTCTCGAACCTTTTAGTATCCAAATCATACAATCCTTCAAAGTTACAAACATTGATCGAGGGTGTTAATAAAACTTTAGATATCGTAACGAGTGACAGCTTCTACCAACCACACCCACCCCAAAAGGCGGAGGGAGCTTGGGCCAGGGTGGGCACGTGCCCCCCCTCTCAAAAAAAAAAATTTATTACTTAAGTATATATATTATATATTTATATAATTTATTATTTGTACCCCCAAAATATTATTTGTGCCCCCCTAAAAAATTATTTGACCTATTATAATTTACCTAAACCTATTAAAAAAAAAATCTTTAGTCCAACATTAAAAATAAAATTTTTGGCCCACTTGATTAAAACATATCTTTATGTTTCCTTCTTTTTTTTTTTTTTTCCCTTGTCTCACTCACTCCCAGTCACAAGAAAAATGCACTCACTCCACCTGGCCACTGCCCGGCCACAAGAAAAACAAAAGAAACAAAGAGAAGTTCAAGCTCTTGACTCTTGAGCTTTTGTCCTACCCTGCAAGTTGCACCGATACAGACGCAGGGCCACCATCGCCGACAAAACAAAACTCAAAGAAGTAGAAGTAAATACTCTCTCTCTCTGTCTCTCTCACGGCACACGCACATTGCGCACACAGCACACTGAGTCACTGACTACACTGTGCATAAAATAAATTAGTTTTTTTTTTTTAAATTTTGAATTAATTAGTCTTTGTAATTTTTTATTTTTTTGTGCATTTTAATTTTTAACCTTAATTTATATTTTGTGCATTTTGTCCTTATTTAAAGCTTTATGCATTTTTCCCTAATTTGTTTTTTTGTGCATTTTGCCCTAATTATTTTTTTGATTTGTTGTAGCCCGGATTAGTAATTGAGGATGCCTTGAAGACCTTGAGTTGCGGTTATTGAGTCAACCTATTTTTTGATAACTTTCAATGCCTTCAATGATATTGCTTGGATTTATTAAAATTATGAATTAGATACCTTGAGTAGCGATAAAATTGATAAAATAGTTTGTTTAATTAATTGTAAAAGTGGATGTATAAACCTATTTTCTTGAATAATTTTTTGAAACAATTATGGAAAAATACTTCAAGAAAAAGTCTGAGTCAGAGTTATTACCTCCTCCAAACAGAGGTGGTGATTCTTCTAAAAAAAGTAATGTAGATATTAATTTGACGGATCTTTCATCAGATCCCGGACAATGGCCTCAGATTATGAATTATAATCTTAATGATCGAGATCAAATTCGTAGAGCTTATCTACAACAGGGTCCTTGTCAACCCCGCGACTATAATTTTCTACAAAAAGGATTTGGTCTTAAACTATGACGGTTTAATAAAACTTGGTTTTCTCAGTTTGGTAATTGGCTTGAATATAGTGTATCGAAAGATGCAGTATTTTGTTTGTATTGTTATCTTTTTAAATCAGATATGAGAGAACAATCGGGTGGCGAAACATTTGTTAGCTCGGGTTTTTCAAATTTGAAGAAAATAGAGAATTTTCAAATGCATGTTGGAGGCGTTAATAGTTCTCATAACCAAGCTTGAAAAAAATGTCAAGATTTATTAAATCAAAAGCAAAGTATTTAAGTTATTTTCTTCAAACAGTTCGACCAAGCTCGAAGTGAGTACAGAACCCGGATAAATGCATCCATTAATTGTATTCAATTTCTTCTAAGACAATTGTTTGCATTTCGAGGTCACGATGAGTCTGAGAATTCAAGTAATCAAGGAAACTTCCTTAAGCTTCTTAGATTTCTTGCTGGTCACAATGAGGATATTAAAATTTTTGTGTTGAAAAATGCTCCTGAGAATCTCTAGTTGACTTTGCTTGAAATTCAAAAAGACATTGTAATTGCAGTTTCTGTTGAAGCGTGTAATGCTATTGTAACCCGCCTTGGTGATGCACTTTTTTCGGTTCTTATTGATGAATCACGTCACATATGAACAAAGGATTGATGTGCTTGATATGGTTTCAGAAGATGTTATAAATGCAGAACAAAGAGGGGAGGCAAATGTTCTTTTGGATTTTCTACAATCTTTTGAGTTTGTACTTAATCTTCATCTGATGAGAAGTATTTTGGGAATCACAAATGAGTTGTCACAGGCATTACAAAAGAAAGATCAAGATATCGTGAATGTCATGACATTAGTTCAAGTATCTAAGCAACGACTTCAAATGATGAGAGAAAGTGCTTGGAGTAGTTTTCTTGATGATGTCACATCTTTCGGTGAAAAATATGAGATAGTTTTTCTAGAGATGGATGATATATTTAAAGCTCGAGAGAGGTCAAGACGTACTTAAGAAAAGACAAATTTGTATCACTATCAAGTTAAGTTATTTTATACCGTCATAAATATGCAACTTCAAGAGCTAAATAGTCGTTTTACCAAGTCAAACACTAATTTATTTTTTTGTGTGACATGTTTGAGTTCTTCTGATTCATTCTTAGCTTTTGACAAGGAGAAATTAGTTTGTCTTGCCCCAATTTTATCCAAAAAAATTTTCTTCACTAGAGCTCATAATACTTTCTGATCAGCTGGATAGTTATATTATTGATATGCACTCTAGTATTGAGTTTTCAAATTTGTTAGGGATTAGAGATCTTGCTCAAAAAATGGTTGAGACGAAAAAACACGTGCTATATCCATTGGTCTACTTACTTGTGACATTGGCATTGATCTTGCCAGTTTCGACTGCCACAGTAGAGAGATTATTTTCGACTATGAAGATTGTGAAGAATCGATTGCATAATTGAATGGGCAATCAATGGATGACAAATAACTTGATTGTATACATAGAGAAGGATATTTTCGATTGCATTGATAATGATGTTATCATGCAACGCTTTCAAAATATGAAATCACGTCATGATCAATTGTAAAAAACTATAGTTAGTCTCATTTTTTGTAAAGGGATCTAACTACAACCTTATTTTACAGATTTTTTTTTTGTGTTTGTACCCCATGTATATCGAATTTTGGCTCTTTTGTCAATGAAATTTTAGGTATGATATATAATTTAAAAAATTTATTTGTCTTTAACTTTAATCTTTTAGAAGACAAATTTTTAAACTTATAATTAGTACCCCCCACGTATAAATTCCTGACTCTGCCCCTGCCCACCCATTCTACTATCTCCTCCCACTTGGGGAGGTGCAGTTTTTGGATTGTGATAGTTTTGGGTCTCTCCCATTGTCTACTGGCACAAATAGTGTGGTATATTTTATCATGGTTGTAGTTATGTCGATTATGATGCTTGTAAAGCCTTCCATATTGTTATAGTTGGGAAACATTTAGATATTAAAAAAAAAAAAGGATTTAAGGGGGCCAGTACCCTTTTTAGAAATTATAGGGCAAAAAGTACCACTTTTAAAAATATTAGTCAAAAAGTACACAATACATAACAAATGTCTAAAATAGCCCATTCAAAAGAAGGTGAACAATCTCCTAATTTTTTCCCTCCAAAGCCGAAACAACCAGAATGGGTTGTTACCCATTACTCCTTCAATATTGCTGAAAATGTAGACTCTTCAAAGACTGATAACATAACTTCCTAAAATCTTCTGTTCTTTTCAAAACAGGATGTTCAAAATCAACTATTCCTTTCGAGACATGATGTTCAAAAAAGGGTTTTTCATTCAACCCATTCTATTTTTTTTTTTTTGTGTTCACTGTTCAATTTTGATGGGTTCACTTTAACAATGTTGAAAACTTCCGTTCAAGACATAATGTTCAAAATGGGTTTTTCGTTCTACCCATTTTTAATTTTTTTTTTTTTGATGTGTTCTCTGTTCAATTTTGATGGGTTCACTTTAACAATGTTGAAAACTTCCGTTAAAGATATGATGTTCAAAATGGGTTTTTCGTTCAACCCATTTTAAATTTTTTTTTTTTTTTGATGTATTCACTGTTCAATTTGGATGTGTTCACTTTAACAATGTTGAAAACTTCTGTTCAAGACATGATATTCAAAGTGGGTTTTTCGTTCAACCCATTTTCATTTTTTTTTAATGTGTTCACTGTTCAAAATGGTTTTGTCATTCTGTTTGACACTTTTGTGGTATGTTTTTCTTTATTTTTTTTTCAATTCTCAATCATTATTGTATATGATTTGTGGTGTTTTAATCAAATTGATTGTGGGTGATTAGCAATTTTTTATTTTTTATGTTACTCTGTATCTATATTGGTAAATT